GAATTTTGAACATTCTGGAGGGAATTCACCTATTATAAAATCCAGGAAGTTATTTTTACAAAAACCCCCAAAGTGTAGCAGGGTTTTGTAATATTTGCCAAATTCTTTTTTTTTCGAACTATCAAAGAAAGATGTCCAGAGAACTTATTAATTAGAGAAAACGGACATAAAATATACTTATTGGGAAAATAGCCTTGTATTTCACCCCTAGAGGACAATGAAAGGGTTAGTAATGAAGTGGGAAGCGATACAAGGCGAAATGACGCGAAACAACATTGATAGCGAGATCGGACGGTCTGACTGGAAGGAACTTCTGCTTGTCAACTAGGCGGTTAGACCGGTTCCGGAGTTTTCCTATATATTTTGTATCTATTTTTAGATTCTGTTCAGGGTATGATTCCTATGGGTTATATATCCAGTTTTGGGGCCTACAAAAGAGATCTTCTAGGTCTAGAATTTAAGGAATCAAGCCAAGGAGAGATGCATTTTAAAAGAGAGAAGTAGAGAGAACTAAAACGACATATCTAGAATTTTGGATGATCTTTTTGTGAGATTGAGAGAGGAATTCTTGGGGAATCTTTAAAGATTATAAGAATAGATTGTATCTTGTAAACCTCCGATATAAAGAAGAATTAAATCTCTTCCTCTAGATGTAGGTGATTGCCAAACAACATATATCCTGTGATTTTGTACTCTTGATCTATTTTTTGTGGATTATATCTTCCTATTTTATTCAAACTAGTAGTTTCTTAGAGTTTCAATATCGCTTAGTGATTAATTGTTCTATGAAGAAGGAGAAGATTTAATCGGTTGTTAGATAACACTTCCGCATTGAATGCTGGTTAGTGGCCACGATCTGTGACGAGTTACTTGGCTAGGGTGGATTTACATGTTATCTAGGGGTGCAATTGCACCCATAACTATTTGAAAGTTAGCTGTAAAACTTTCTAATAATTACAATTTGCTCCCCACCCCAAACCATTATACAAAATTTGCATCGCAATCTTTATATAACCACTAAAAAATGAGTAACCCAAGCCTATTTAAAATAATAACCCATTCAAATTAATAATTATTAACTTATAGAAAATAAAGAACCAATTACTGATTTATTAGAAGAGTAGTTTATGTTGATTATCTTTTTATTTATTTATCATTTTATTTTAGGTTAATATATACTTGTATCATCTATTCAGGTGCGAATAAGGAGGAAGGCTATAAATTGCACCACACTCTTGTACTTCACTCTTCATAGGAGAGTTGAATCTAAGACTTTGGAGTTCTAGCTACCCATTGGTAGCTTACCTACTCGTAGGGATGGCAAAATGGACCCAAAACCAATTGCCCACCCATACCCATCCGCCAAATGAACCATCCAAACCCATCCATTTAGTTAAACTAGGTGGAATGCACGTGATCAAATATCATAATTATTTTTTAGTTTTATTTATTTACTATAATATGGTTGCAAAAAACTTTATAAATATCATAATATATTAATTTTTTTGGATATTTCCATGTGTGGTTTTAACATTTTTATCTTCCAAAAAAATAGTGATGTTTAAAACCTTAAAATATTAATGATTTAAGATTAATTACTAATTCGAACGTATAATTTTAAAATATTAATGATGTAAGGGACTAATACGTAAAAAATCTATAATTATTAATAAAAAAATAAATTCTTGAATTCATCAAAGAAAAATGGTAGGCTTTATCTAGTTAGTAAGGATTTTGTTCGGTTATGAAAAAATCACTTCCACCTATTGTTTATCAGGCGACCGAGTATTATAGATATTCAAGAACTTTTTTCTAGAATTCTCTAAGTTATAATGTGCAAATTCAATCAAGAAAGAAAATATAAATTATATGATCAATTTTAAAATCTGTTGTTGTACTCTTTTTACATCTTCCCAACTACTAATTGATCTATCAAAATGATTACTCTCTAGTTTTAGAAAATTATAAATATAGTCTGAGAATAATTTATACATATTATACACTCATATTGATTGTATTTTAACAAAATAATTCATATCTATCTAATGTCAAACAACATCAAAATTTTTAATAATTTAATATTAGTCCCTAAATTATGAGCAATTTAAAATATTTTAGGGAATAACATAAAATCATTGTATATTTAAAATCAAGGAACTAATATCTAAATAACCTTTACATATTTGCTCTTATAGGTATCCTATGAAATATTTGCCGATATATTGCTATATCGGCCAATATATCGGGTTAAAGACTTTATCTCGGTAATATTTCCTACTGTTTTCTTTTGTTTGGTGATTTTTTTGATATATCGACCGTTATCGAAAATATGGCCAATATATCTATTTGAAGATATTAAGAAAATCATGTCATTTTTAATTTGATTGTGGACTCGAGTTTGGATCGTGTTTGGAAAATAAAATTGGAACCTACAAAACCCACAAAGGCCACAATTCTTCTCCAAATCTCTCCACCCTCGCCTCTCCCAAATCTTAAGCATATTTCTTGATGCAAATTATTATATTTAAATTTCATTAATATGTTAGATTACATATTACAATGTCATGTTATGTATGAATATTATCTCATATGACACGCAATATTACATAGACATCCCTGAATTTTACAATCTGATATCATGGATTTTATTTGTTTAATATTTATCTGATGTCCAACCTTTTGTAGTAGTCCTTCAGAAGCCTCTTCTAAAGTTTTTTAAGCGACGTATATAATTTTAGAAAATAATTCAAAATCTTGAGACTCATTCAAAATATGATGCTTCAATTTTTCAGCATCTCCTCTACTATATAAATATAAGCTAACCATTTGGCCTCATATTGTATGATGAATATTATTTATCAATGGGTTCATATATTATTGTTTATGGATAACAAATGTTTTAAATCTTTTATAGGCTTAATTGAACTTAAATCTTTTATAGTTTACAGCAATTATATTTATATACCTCCACTTATATCTTGTTGCACATTTTTTAAATTTTAGATAACATATCTAGCTTGCTGCACTTAAATAGTCTAATGTTTTCCAAAATATAATGTTTTTACATTCTGTCCTCTTACATAAACATAAGAATGCTCTTTGTAATTTTTCTATATGAGTTTCATGGTATAATTTTAGGATAATTTTATGTTTTCTATTCTTTCCATAAATACTTTATTAACATGCAATTATCTATTAATATATTATTTTACATTACTAATAATTGATATGATGTAGAGTTTTACAATAGCGTTGGAAGTTTTAGGGACCAAATTATACAAACTTAAAGTGACATATAATGTAATTAATTAACAATGATAATTAATTTAGTTTAGTTAGTATTAGAATATAATATCAACAAAGAATAGGGGTAGTATAGTCCTTGAAAAGTTTTTCCACAACTCCCTCTTTTAAAGAGAGTATGATATGATATGATATGATATGATGAGCCATAAATGGGTGAGTATAGTTTCTATTAAAGATAAATGAGTCATTAATGGACGGGTTATTACCCACCCATTTACCCGTTTAGATGAATATTATTTTAAAAACACCCTCAACGCTTCAACAATTACAAAACTTATTTTTAAAAGTTAAAAATTATAGAAAAACACTTAAAATGACTAACAACCCCTTAAAAAATTTGAGATTTGCAAAAAACACCCTTAAAGTTTAAAATATTATAAAACGTCCTCAAGAGTTAAAAATTATAAAAAAAACTATCAAAATTTTCTAACCTCACAGATGACACATGAAATTCAAAAATTACCAACAACCCCCTGAAATTTTATAATTTGTAAAAAATACCCTTAAAAGTTATAGAAAATGAGAAAAACACCCTCAAGACTTCAAAATTACAAAACAATCTTAGAATTTTCTAAACTTGCAAATGACATATGAAATCTAAAAAATTTCAATAGTCTCCTATAAATTTAAAATTTGCAATTATCACCCTCAAAGTTTTAAATTTTTAGAAAAACATCCTCCATAGTTTAGAATTACAAAGCCATCCTGAAATTTCAAAACCTACAAATGACACATGAAATCCAAAAATTATTACGAGTCCATCTCTTCTTTTGCTCAGCCCCGTCATCATTTGCTTCTTTTGCTTACAATTCTGTCCTAATTTTTCCAAGTAGTCGATTCAATTGAGAAAGAAATGTTTACAGAAAACCCCCTGAAAGTTTGTAGAAAACCCCTAAAAGTTTACAAAAAACCCCCTGAAAGTTTACAGAAAACCCTCTAAAAGTTTGCAGAAAATCCCCTAAAAGTTTACATAAAACCTCTAAAAGTTTGTAGAAAACCCCCTGAAAGTTTGCAGAAAAACCCGTGAAAGTTTACAGAAAACCCCCTAAAAGTTTATAGAAAACCCCCTAAAAGTTTACATAAAATCCCTGAAAGTTTGTAGAAAACCCCCTGAAAGTTTGCAGAAAAACCCCTGAAAGTTTATAGAAAACCTCCTGAAAGTTTGCAGAAAACCCTCTGAAAGTTTGCATAAAACCCCCTAAAAGTTTACAGAAAATCCCCTAAAAGTTTGCAAAAAACCCCTAGAAAGTTCACAGAAAACCCCCTAAAAGTTTACAAAAACCCCCCTGAAAGTTTGCAAAAAACACCCTAAAAGTTTACAGAAAACCCCCTGAAAGTTTGTAGAAAACCCCCTGAAAGTTTGCAGAAAACCCCTTGAAAGTTTGTAAAAAACCCCTGAAAGTTTGCAAGTAGATCATTGAAACTTACATATATGTAGAAGCATCATAATCATAACTAAATGAGTTATTGGGTCCCCTATGAACCACCCATTTAGTAAATGGGTGGTTGAGAAGTGACCCATTTAGCAAATACTAAATGGGTCATATATGGTTAAGTGGTCATAAATGTGCCCACCCATTTATGACCCAACCAAGATCCAACCAAAACCACCCATTTGACATCCCTACCTATTCGACTAGACCCTCTTAGGTCCATCAAATATATTTTTTATCTATGGAACATATGTCTTCCAATAATTATAATAAACAAAAAAAAAATTTCATGTCTTTTCCTACAAAACCCACAAAGGGTTTCAAAACTCTTCTCAAGCCCATTTGGCAAGCATTGACATTAGGCCAGCTCCTACAAGCAAAGATACATTCAAGCTCAATTGAAGCAAGCCCTTGCTTTGAACTCTAGGGCTCATGAAATCAGCAGCTAGAATATCAACAAGAGCCATGTAAATAAGGATTCCTGCAGCTGCAGAGTTGAGGATGCCTTCAACTATGAGCGCGGTTGGACTGTTTTCGTTGTAGATGGAAGCTATTCCGATGCCGATGGCGATGCCGACGGGAGTTGTGAGGGAGAAGAAGAGGATCATCATGGCCATTGACTTCACTTTGAATTTTGCCTGCACAGCAACTTAATTAAGTAGTTTGATCAAGCACTTAGTCGTGTATGTGATAATAGAAATACGTGTACTAATTGGATTCTCAAGTAACCACTTCACCAATCACAACTGTTCATTTATATTGATAATTGTTATGTACGATTCGAGAAAATCTAAATATGGCTAAACCCTGAGAATTGCACAAATTATTTTCTCTTTTTGGGGTGATTTTCACAATACTCCCTTAAGGTTGGCTGTTTTTGAGGCCAACCCCTAACTAACGATGTTAGATCTGACTGTGCACATGGGGGGGAAATTTTTTTATCTTGCGCATCCAAATGACCAAAATTCCCTATTATTGGAAAAAAGCTCTTTCGTGTCCTTTTAAAGAATGTTAATGGTAATCTTCCAAAACCCCCTTATGTTTTCGTCCAGTTTAGGGATTTATTTAATTTAATTAATGATTATTAATTTAGTTTGAGCTAAAATAGTTAGAGAGTTCATTTCAAAAGAGAATTTTGATTTTTTTTACTAGTTCATCTCACGTTATTAGGGCCGTTAGTTGAAAATTTTGAAATGTTAGGGGGTTTTCTGAAACACCCAGAACTAATAGCGTTAATTGATATTTTTAAAGTTTAATGGATTATCTCAAAATCTGCCAAGCTTTCACCCCTCTTTTCAAGAAGTATCATAACCATTTACTAAAAAATAATGTTAGGGGCACAACCCCTAATACACCACCAACCACACCCCCTCTCCCATCGCTACAGTAAACTGGGCCCCACATGAGATTTTAAAAAAATTTAAAATCCCATGTGGGGCCCGGTTTACTGTAGCGCTAGGAGAAGGGGGTGTGGTTGGTGGTGTGGTAGAGGGTGTGCCCCTAACACCACTCTTATTTATCTTATCCTTAAATGTACAACATAAACAACTAATATAACTCATAGGTGATAGCATAGTTAACTACACAATATAATTATTTTCTTGATAATTTTATTTAGACGTGATGAACTTATGGTTTAAGTAATTCAGAGCTTTAAGTATAGAAAATGTACCATATATATATATATATAAATATATACCTGAACTATGCATCCTCCAAGACCCATGCCCTCAAATAACTGATGAAATGTGAGGGCGGCTACAAGAGGCCTTATTGTTGAGGGGCTCTCGGACGCGCCCAACGATATTCCAATAATCACGGAGTGGACTAGAATACCCAGTTCAAGAACCTGCATCAATTATTGAAGCTTTCATCAATTAATTAGGGGGTACTCAGGCCATTTATATTCAATTTATCTGTAACTTCTCAGTACTAACTAATATTACCGATAATAATTTCTCAGTCGAAGGTCATTAGCTCCTATATATGACATCTTGATGTTCTCTAGGAATCGAAAAGACAAAATTATCTTTTGTAAGGGTCTACAAAAAGGTTGAGTATTAATTAAGGTCTACAATAGAACTTGTTCACGTGCGAAGTATCTAATGCTCCTCCATTTTAGACGGTTTGTAGTTGGCCATGAAGAGATAATATGTATATATATATATATATATCGGTGCTCTTTCCACAAAACTTTTTAAGAAAAATTCTCTCTTATATTTTGAATGCTGAGATAGGACTTTTTCGTTAACAAAAAATAATAATATTCATTTAATCTTTCTTTAGTCAATTCTTTGTAACATGAAAGGCATACAATCAAATGTAGTATAACAACCTTTTCCGAACTATTTTCCATCATATCTAAAATTTGTATTGATACAAAAAGATAAAAGAAATTCTTTATATATGCTCTATTCTATTGGCCCCTCAAAATTTTAAAGAAAGTAGATTGTGAGGTTCAAAATAATTCTTCACCAAACTTTCATATTTTATTAGAAAATACCCCTAATTTTGGAGGTTTTTTTAGTAAAATCTGAAAGTTAAAATGGGATTTTGTGATAATCCCTATACTTGAGGGGGGTTCTGATATTTTAGAAGGTAAGGAGGTTTTTTGAATAATCGTCGAAAGTTAAGGGCGTTTTCCGATATTTACCCAATTTTCTTGATTATGACAGAAACTAAGTGCTGGCACCTGTCAACTGGGTTTTCCCTAGAATTGCTAAGAAAATCATGAAAACAAATATCCAAAAGGGACATTTTTATGGTCCCCACCCTGCCTTTTGAAAAATAAAATCAATTCCTTGAGAATATAAATTACGAAAATATAATCATATCATGAATAGTGATACCATTCAAGGGATGTAAATTTATCTCTCCTTGGCTCTCCCTCCTTGCGTTTTAGTCCTCGAGAAAGCTAACAAAAAGCAAAAAAGGAAGGGGAAAAATTTTTTCTCCTAAGAAAAACTTGACGATCTTTTTTCTTTCGGACACACCACATAAAAAAACATGAATATGTTATTTTTCACAATATGATCTCACCCTCTACCAATTTCACTAAGTTTTGGCACTAAATTACTCCACAATAATTAGACTCACTAATTAAGGTTAAAAATCGCCTACATTCTTACCTATAGAAAATCCATACAATTGTAACCTAAACTGGTAATCTCTCTTTTGAAAATCAACAAATTCACATAAAAATAAAAATAAAATAAGTAAACATAATAATCTCTTCATTCTTCTGGTGTGTCATTGACATCGCCCATATCCAGATAATCGCCTAGGATCTAGATCATGATAATCTGAATGTTAGGACCTATAATATATATATATATAATATATATATATATATATTAATATATATATATTATATATATAATATAATATATATATATATATAATGTCTCGGATCGCGACGACCAGGTACGTATTGTCATATTTCTGTTGATGAAAGAAAAAACAATAACGTAGTTGTTCTAGTTTCGTTTGTACATTACCTGAGACAAACTCTATGCCGAATGACGCCCTTATCACCTTGAATCTCCTCCTGCCTCCCCGACCATGCGCATGGCCATGGCGTCGCGTGCGTATGACATGCCGTGCTCTCGCATGACATGACGTGACCCCCTCCCTCCTCATCTCGCGTGCCGCCGTTCGGCCCTGCGACTTTGCTTGAAAAATGCGCTCGATTATAGTACCGGTCGCAAGACTATCCACCGCAAAGTCCGATCGCGGCCGCCTCGCGCGAACCCGCAAACGGGAACTCCCCGCACGGTTCTCGACATCAGACACGGCGACGACAGGCTCGGAACGGCGTCCCGGCAAAATGATGGATGAACGCGGTCGCAGTATCACCCCCCGCGAACGCCTTCACCACAAGAAACGTCGATTATCGGGCGGAGGCCGGGACCCACCGGCCGAGAAATAAGGAGCAACTCGACGAGCCCCCGACGAGATGATAGAAGATCGCGGCGATCCTTTAGGCACGAGGGCCTTGTACTCTGCTTTTTTGGAGGGGTCCGGACCAGGCAGACCGCGGTCGCAGTCGGCGAGGAGATCGATGGAGGAGGAGGAGGAGGAGGAGGAGGAGAGGGTGGGTAGTGGTTTTTCATGTTGTTAATGATTTTAATGGGATTAATTCTCTTGGGAGTTTTGGATCAGCTAGCGACGCTTTATAGAGGTTGTAGCGTTGTTAAGGATGAGCACATGTTGTGTTCGGGTGGCGGTTTTTAGAGAAACTAACTAAATGAGGGGAAGCTGACCTGTTAATGGAGGTCCGAGTGGCGGTTTTCGGGTTCGGGTCGGCTTTGGTTTGTGGGTGCGCCCGGTACGGTATAGTTATTTTCTGACTTTATACTGCGGAAAATTAATGGGATTTTTTTTTTGTTTATTTAAAAGAATCTTAGTCGTTGTATTTTTCAAATCTAGCGCATAACGAAATCAGGGACTCTGATCTATATTGTTAGATTAGAGCTTGGGTGTGCGGCATGGCTCGTTAATTCGTATATTAAGTACTTTCATTTGTCAAGGCATTGACTTTAAGGCCTAAGCTTGTATTTATATAAAATATTTTAAAACTTGTGGGATCCAATAACTATATATATGTAATATACTAATGGCTATATACTATATAGATAATCCAAATCAGCTCCCACATTATTCTTTACTAAAGGAATGAATAGACAAGCAAGAAGCGCGGTTTCTCAGCTTCAAAATAATAAATTTTTATTAAGCTCTACTGTTATTGAAGCTTTGCTTATCAATAATTACACAACTATAAAGGACTAAATTAGTTATAAAAAATCGTGTTTTGCTGATTTTAATTACAAAGAATTTTATTGATAGTGCTCTTCAACTTTCAATCCATATTAATTCGCAGTTTAAGTATTTATATTGTCAAAGCATTGTTTGTAATATTCAAATATATTATTATTATTACATTTGGATGAAATAAATAATTTAAACTTTGATATGTGGGTGTGTGGTATCTATTGGGTATATTATAACAACACAATTATGTCAAACACTAGTGAACCATATGCCACAACAATATATGATTGAAGATTTGGTTATCAATAACTGGACAACAAAGTCTAATTTACTAAATAACAGATTGAATTATGTTGATTTTAATAAGTATGAATATTATGGATATATATTTTTTTCAATCTTTCTCGTAGACTAACAGAGACTTCAATTCATGATGTCATATTAAATTTTGGATGAGGCATTGTGTTAATTTGGCTTTTATATTTAAACCACATTGAACGACCTCAGATCCAAATATATATTAAATTTGGTGCTACTATTACTATCAAATTTGAATGAAATAAATATTTGAAATTTGATGTGTGGGCATACATCATCTTTTCGGGTATATGATATATGACTAGGACACATTATTCATTTATTCTGTCATTTTTCACATTATCCTTTTTCAACAAAATGAATAGACAAGCAAGAGAAACGTTATTTTCAGCCCCAAACTGATAAATTATATCAAATTCTACTCAATCTTACGCCACAACAAACTACTTATGTATTGGTTAACAAATAATTGGACAATAAGGGTTAATCTGCTAGATTGTTAACGCAAGCTTCAAATCAATTTCTTGGCGAAGTCATCCAGTAAGGTGGCCTAGTGGTTAGGGCCTAGGATCATAGCTTAAAAGATCAAGAATCAATCAAGAATTAAAAGAATGGCTTTAACTGTATCAATCTATGCTATATGGAAGGAAAGAAATCAACGAATATTCCAGCAGAGAGCACATGATTCAACAACAATTTTTCGAAGAGTGAAGACACTGATACTATCTAGAATTTTGAATGATGATATTTCTCCCCATATAAAAGAGAGAATAGTGCAATTGTAATTGCTTTTCTTTGACACTTTTGTTGTTTTTTTTATTGCCAGGAAAATCCTGGTATTTTGATGTTCTACACAATTTACACCTTTGGAAAATGAATAAAATTTATTTCATTGACAAAAAAAAAAAAAAAGAATCGATCGGTGTCTAAGGCATATGCCTATCCGCAATTTCTAATTAGTAGGCATTACAATACTTGTGTCATTCATTGGGTTCTAGATTGGGAAAGTGAGGCCCTAGGCTCAGAGTTTACTTGGCTGCTATTAAGCCGAACGTTCTTCGCGCGAAAAAAAAAAGTCCCTTAGACCCTAACCATTCAAAAGTTATGTTTGCTAATAGTTATTTAACACTCAGCTCAAGACTCTTACCAAAATATTCTAGCTATAATCTGAATCCTAGAATATAGAGTTTTTGAACAACAATATTCGTCTTACAAAGCAATCATGGATGAACATTGAATAACATCTCCTTAGCGGAGTTAGTTTCTTGTACAAGGATCCGAACCCGTTAACAAACCCAAGAAGCACAATGTTTTTTTAAGGGGGAAAAATGAATAAAAGAAGAGGATGTCGACAGAGTGTCATCACTTGTAAAGAAGTCAAATAAGTTCCCTGCGGCTTCGCTGACCGACCGATGTGGGAAGCAAAATGCTCAGCATCGATTCAAGAGCGGACGCAATGGCTGAGATATGCTATTAAAAGAAAGGGTTTATTTTGCATATATACCCCTCAAAAATTTCATGTTTGTAAAAGTATTCCTTACATCTTGGTATTTTGCAAAATTATTCTCAATTCTTTCACGTTGAGTTTTTCTATCCTCCTCCTATTTAAGACTGTTAGTCTTTGAACATTTTATTGTCAAAGAGTCTGGAAACTTTTGATGAGGTTGCAGCATTTCCCTATTTAAAAACTAAGCGTTAAGTGGGAGCGGTAGAATATCTAAGTATAGGAGAATGAGGGGTAGTTTTACAAATATGAAGATTTAGAAT